ACATATTACTTTTAAAATAATTTATTTTATATGTAATCTGAGTGCTTTAATTACTCTATAGGAAGTTCCAGATTAAGAACATTACGAGTCGTAGACAAAGCTTGGAATGCGGACTTTTAAGAAATAATTAATAATTTTATTTTTTACATTTATTATGAACAATTTTAGTCTAATTTAATGTCACTATGTTAGATTAGTTCATTGTACACTTTAAATTTGTATACTTTTATTTATATGTGAATTTGCAAACGGATTTAAGGAATCATGGCCTTAGGCAATTGTCTTCTTTGCATAGATATTAGCCTGGTCTGATAGATATGGCCAGGCATACGATGTCAGCCTATCGCGCTGGGGAAGTCCAGATCGAATCGGAACAGGTCAAAAAAACGCTCTGAATTTGAGTTTTTTGGGAGGTGGGCCGTTCAGCTACATCGGGCTTCATTCCACACTAGTCGTCTGTTCCACCGTGGATTAGATTTGACCGAACTTATAACGGGGTTGATGAAAAGGTCCTCTTAAGTGTTCATAGGGATGAAAAATTAGAATAACTTCAAAAAATGTTTTAGAATGAATAATAATTTAATTTCCTTTCTTGATAGTTCCTCTTCGGAATTCTGTGTTCCCTCATAGAATATCAAATAATGTTTGTTTGAAGTAAATTACATTTAATGAGAAGTAAAAAATGCACAATAACTTTTGATTATTCACTTTTTCCCCATATATCCTTGTGTAATTTCTTTTATACAATAAAAATTTTGACTACTTTTTACTTTGCATTTTCATTTATATATGTGTATATTTCCGTTATATTTTTATTACAGTTTGAAGTAAACGAACATAACATTTTCTTACGACATTATAGATCTTTGAAATTTAGAGTAAACGGAATAAAACATTGACATAATTTCATACGAATTCGAAGAAACGAGTAGAGATTATCTTTCATTAAATTTGATTTTATTTGCACTTATTTCTGTTGTAAGCTGAAAGTCTTTTTCCACCTAAGATTAATATCGTATTTTTGAAATAATATAATTTTAATTTGTTTTTGATGTTAAAATTGATTTTTAAAAGAACACTTGAAAAGGTTGCTTTTTTCATGCTTTGTCTATAGTGAGTCGTAATCAGAAAACGTCATTTAAAAGACGAAGTGTCGTTATTTCATGTGTAGGGCTTAGTCGCTCAGAAATTTCAGGAATATTGTGAGTTATTAAAGGTATTTGGGTTTTAGATCCTACTTCGAATCCTCCTAAGACGGTGGACAGCCGAAGAGGTCAAGACGGGATCGAATCCGAGAAAAATTCCTATAGATTTTTACTGATTATCTGACTGAAATGTGTTGTGCTCTATTTGTTTGTGGCAACGCAATACTTGGGCGATGCCTTCCGAGACGTCTTTTTAAGGAAAACTAGTCCCTATTTAGACGTTACAGACGTGGAGAAAACCCGGAAAACTCCACGTAGCTAGCCCGTCCTTGCGAGGCGCAAACCCACGAACCGAACTCAACAGTGTTCAGCGAACGAAAACCGCTTGGCCACTGGTGGGCACATGTTGTGTTCTGTCTGTCACCATTAGAACGTCTATTTGTGCGCATGGACGAATGTATTGATACAATGGGGCTGAAAAGAAAAGGTTCTCTTAGTACCTACAGGATTAAGCGGAATTTTAACTATAAAAACTCTTACACATTGTATGTAAAGAATAGTGCTTAAAAATTTATATCATATGAGAAGAAAATTCTATAATTTTTTCAACAATTAATAAAAAAATGGAAGTAGGGTTTCTCATTTTCCTGTCTTTTGTTTGTCCCGGGATAAAATTAATTATTTTTAAGATATACAAAATATCTTGAAATCAAATGATATAATTATTTTTTCATTTTTAAAGTAATTTAATACGTTCTGCAACTTCCAAAATCAAAATAACGCTGTGTAAAAATATATCAAGAATTACCTTCGAATTACGTAGAAATTTTCACAAATAGAAAAAATCTATTAAAGTTTGCTGGAAACTGCATACAACAACATCAACAACAACAACAACAACAATAAAGAAATGCTTTGAATTAAGTTGAAAATTAAAAAAAAAAAAAAAAAAGGAAACTTAGATCAGACTTGTAACTTAAAGGGTAATTTTCGTTTTTTCTAAATAAAACATAATACAAAATATTATTGTAAATTTTTATATAGGATTTTAAAAAGTAAAGATAGTCAATACTCCAATCACTCGATCTAGCTCTTATTTAACTAATGAAAAGTCCTGCTACCAAGAATTCCCTTTCCGATTCATGTGGGCGGAATCGTCTTTAATGCATTTAAGAGAAGACGGATGTTATGTATTTTTTCACCCGTAGCCTGGAAGATTTGTAGTTCGTTTTCGAGATTGTAGTACTTCTTTTGCTCTCTAGTATTCTTGATTTGTCTATTGCGGCTGCTTTAATAGAAACATCACTCTTAAAACCCGATAATTCGATAGTCCGTTTGTCTTTAATAATTAGGTTTAGGAAGAAAATTTTCATACTCGTAAACTTCGTACTCGTTTGTATCCTGGCCCAATTTGCATTACCTGGCGTTACGCAGTTATCGAAGCTACCGGGCGTGGTTGAAAATTAAGACAGAGTAAGCGCAATTGTTTCAGATATTACAGGTTCCGACAAGTAAAGAATTTTCAGAGTCCTGCCACAAATAAGCTACATATTGATTATTGGCCATTTGTGACATGCCATAACAAGCAAAAATTAAAAAAAAACCTAGAAGTAGGTTTAAAATTAATAAATATAAATGTATTCTGACAGTTTATGAGTTAATTATACTTTCTATTTGTAAAATTTTCTCAATCTTAACACAAAATAAGAAAAAAGTAAATTTTTAAGAAATTTGCGGGATTTCCTGCGTTAAAAAAACAACCGGGATCCCGGAATCCCTTTGAGAAATCCTAGATGGAACGATATGATTGTATCTTTCACCGGATTCACTTCCTTTCAAAGGTGATACATCTTCCGAGTGTGTCACCAGGAATTTACAATCGAAATTCATCTATCGGCCACATTAACATTAACCAGTGGCGTGCCGTCATTGGAAGCGGTGAATGNGTTCTGTCTGTCACCATTAGAACGTCTATTTGTGCGCATGGACGAATGTATTGATACAATGGGGCTGAAAAGAAAAGGTTCTCTTAGTACCTACAGGATTAAGCGGAATTTTAACTATAAAAACTCTTACACATTGTATGTAAAGAATAGTGCTTAAAAATTTATATCATATGAGAAGAAAATTCTATAATTTTTTCAACAATTAATAAAAAAATGGAAGTAGGGTTTCTCATTTTCCTGTCTTTTGTTTGTCCCGGGATAAAATTAATTATTTTTAAGATATACAAAATATCTTGAAATCAAATGATATAATTATTTTTTCATTTTTAAAGTAATTTAATACGTTCTGCAACTTCCAAAATCAAAATAACGCTGTGTAAAAATATATCAAGAATTACCTTCGAATTACGTAGAAATTTTCACAAATAGAAAAAATCTATTAAAGTTTGCTGGAAACTGCATACAACAACATCAACAACAACAACAACAACAATAAGAAATGCTTTGAATTAAGTTGAAAATTAAAAAAAAAAAAAAAAAAGGAAACTTAGATCAGACTTGTAACTTAAAGGGTAATTTTCGTTTTTTCTAAATAAAACATAATACAAAATATTATTGTAAATTTTTATATAGGATTTTAAAAAGTAAAGATAGTCAATACTCCAATCACTCGATCTAGCTCTTATTTAACTAATGAAAAGTCCTGCTACCAAGAATTCCCTTTCCGATTCATGTGGGCGGAATCGTCTTTAATGCATTTAAGAGAAGACGGATGTTATGTATTTTTTCACCCGTAGCCTGGAAGATTAGTAGTTCGTTTTCGAGATTGTAGTACTTCTTTTGCTCTCTAGTATTCTTGATTTGTCTATTGCGGCTGCTTTAATAGAAACATCACTCTTAAAACCCGATAATTCGATAGTCCGTTTGTCTTTAATAATTAGGTTTAGGAAGAAAATTTTCATACTCGTAAACTTCGTACTCGTTTGTATCCTGGCCCAATTTGCATTACCTGGCGTTACGCAGTTATCGAAGCTACCGGGCGTGGTTGAAAATTAAGACAGAGTAAGCGCAATTGTTTCAGATATTACAGGTTCCGACAAGTAAAGAATTTTCAGAGTCCTGCCACAAATAAGCTACATATTGATTATTGGCCATTTGTGACATGCCATAACAAGCAAAAATTAAAAAAAAACTAATAAGTAGGTTTAAAATTAATAAATACAAATGTATTCTGACAGTTTATGAGTTAATTATACTTTCTATTTGTAAAATTTTCTCAATCTTAACACAAAATAAGAAAAAAGTAAATTTTTAAGAAATTTGCGGGATTTCCTGCGTTAAAAAAACAACCGGGATCCCGGAATCCCTTTGAGAAATCCTAGATGGAAGGATATGATAGTATCTTTCACCAGGATCACTTACTTTCAAAGGTGACACATCTTCCGAGTGTGTTACCAGGAATTTACAATCGAAATTAGTGTTGTAACGAATAGTATATTTGGCCTCAGGCCGAATACCGAATATTCGGCCAGGAGCGTGGCCGAATAGCCGAATATTCGACCAAACTATTCGGCTTGATTAACGCACGTACGAAAATTGGCGCGCAAACCGCATTATGGCAAGGTTCCTGCTCTCTATTGGCCCGCTGTCACTACGCTTCTCCAATCGCGTTAATTCTTGGCAGTTGTAGCCGACAGACAAGAGTGTCATGAAAGTATGTGATAAATGATGATATCAAATGACCTACACTTGTAAATAACGGAAAAGGAACAGAGAAGGACCGCGAAGTGAAAATGTGAAAATAATATGAAATTGAGTTGATAACATAATCGAACAAGTCGAGGCAGCTTATTGGCACGAA